AAAAAATTGTGCGACTAATCTCTAAAGAGAGTATTCCGAGATTACTCGCAATCGGGTACAATTGGGCATTAATTAGTCGGAACTGGTCTCATACGGGTAGTAATGGACATCAATTAGTCTCGACTGGACCCTTACGTGATTAATTGGAGATCAATTAGTCCCCTACTCATCTCTAACGGGTACTATTAACGATTTAATGATATGTGCGCACTTAGTCAATGAAATTTCGTGTGCGGCGTTGGCACATAGAGAGAGTATTCGCGTAACAAACCTGAGCAGCATGGTTCGAATCGCGGCTGGCGCAAATTTTTATTTTTATTTTTTAAAAGTGAATAATCTATTTTTGTACCCTTTCGGGTATGAAGGGGAACAATTAATCTCTTCATAGGACATTCTCGAACAAAGGCGAACAGTTCATTCCATATAAAGAGATCAAAAGTGGTAGTAGTCGCATGTTCCTTTGCGATTGCTCCCGAAGTCGTCCTGGATTAGTCGCATTTTTTGCAGGGTTGCGATTGCTCCCGGAGTCATCCCGGATTAGTCCCATTATTTGCAGGGAATGCACTAATCCCGCGCTGTGATGTTGATTGAAACTCAACATTTGAAAACGCCTTTAAATGTATGGCTGTAGCTGAGTGTGCAAAGACGCTTGGTACAATTGGTTGCGGCCAAGAGGGTCCGGGTTCAATTACCATCAGACGGCACATAAAATAAATTTTTTTTTCTTCTTACCCTGCAAAAAATTGTGCGACTAATCTCTAAAGAGAGTATTTCGAGATTACTCTCAACCGGGTACAATTGGGCATTAATTAGTCCCAACTAGTCTCATACGGGTACTAATGGAGGTCAATTAGTCTGGACTCATCCCTTATGGGTATAATTGGAGATCAATTAGTCCCGAACTCATCTCTAACGGGTACTATTAACGATTCAATGATATGTACGCACTTAGTCAATGAAATTTCATGTTCGGCGTTGGCACACAGAGAGAGTATTCGCCTAACAAAACTGAGCACCCCGGTTCGAATCTGAGCTGGTTAAAATATTTATTTTTTAAAAGTGACTAGTCGCTTTTTATACCCGTTTGGGTATAAAGGTGAACAATTAGTCTCTTCATAGGACATGCTCGAACAAAAGCGATCAGTGCATTCCATATAAAGAGATCAAAAGTGGTATTAGTCGCATGCTCCTTTGCGATTGCTCCCGGAGTCATCCCGGATTAGTCCCATTTTTGGCAGGGTAATTACGAAAAAGCATATGTGCACTTCACAACCACATATTTTGTTAAGTATATACTCCAATTTAAAACGAGCTGGGTTGGTGCTCTTTCATATGCGTATTTTTTTTCAATTCAGCACGTTTTTTTAATTCTAAAATTTTTTCCCCTCAGTGTTGGAATTTGAGTTTATGACATTCGATACGATACTAGGGTTCTGGTACCCGATTCCTAAAAATATCGTTTTTAAACTATCGAGTATAAAATATCGGTATCGAATGCCAAAAGTATCGATATGGTATCGTATCGTATCGAAATTCGTGTCCCTAGTGCTGAAATGCTATAACATATAAAGCAGATTCCACTGATCTACACAATAGACAATGAATTAACTTTTTATGGTATATTAAACATGCTATATATGTAGATATTAAAAATGAGATAAATTAAGAATGAGGGAATTTTGTTCACATAAAATTCTGACGAAAGAGAAATCCTATCGACAAATATTCCCAAATATTCAAAATAAACCATGGTTTCATTAAAATTCTAGTATACATTAAACAAAATTAATGGAATTCAAACAAGTCCTTTATTGAAAGGTGTGCGATATCACCGTCTTCAAAAGAGTCACAACTTAAAATTTGGCATTTTTGAGATTATGCGCTAAAAAGGTACACTGAGCTTTTATTTACCTTTCAGCTAAAGCTGGAGCAAATTTTTGCTATAATTTGTTAAAAAAAAGACCTAACGTAAATTCGCCCTAGCCCATATGATTATCATGTGCTAAGAAATAGTTTTTCGCATTTTCTGACAAACGTATTATTTTGAGTTGTGACCCTTTTGAAGACGGTGTGCGATATGAAGAAATGTACAAATAGTAAAGATGCAATTGATATAATGTATATAAATTAATCTTTTAAAAATTATTATGTTTGTTGCATTTAAAAATTACATGTTTAATATCTAAAATCGAATTATATTCGGTGGAGGGACACACAAATAATCCTGACCTGCACAAGTAAAAATCTTTATAAATAATTGCACTTTCACTTTTATGGGGTGGTATACTAACTTGTAAGTATGCAAATTCTCCACTTGGCCAAACCAAAAGGTTGCAGTGGTGAAAATACCCTCACGAGCGAACGTGGACGGACACACAAATGATCCTGACCAGCTTAAAAAAAAACTTTATTAATATTTGCACTTTCACTTTTATGGGGTGGTATACTTACTTGTAAGTATGCAAAGGCTGCACTCGACCAAACTAAAGGTTGCAGTGGTGAAAATACCTGCACCAGCGAACGTTAACGGACACACAAAGTGATCCTGGCCACGGTTGCCACAAAATAGGTAACTTTTCGAGTGTTTGGTAACTTGGCAACTTTTTTTTTTATTTTGGTAACTTTTGGTAAGTTTGCCGTGTATAACAGGCTAACCTAGTATTCACGCACGCCTAGGGACACGAATTTCGATACGATACGATACCATATCGATACTTTTGGCATTCGATACCGATATTTTCTACTCGATAGTTTTAAAACGATATATTTTGGAATCGAGTACCAGAACCCTAGTATCGTATCGAATGTCATAAACTCAAATTCCAACACTGAGGGGAAAAATTTTAGAATTAAAAAAACATGCTAAATTTATAAAAGAGCACCAAACCAACTCGTTTTAGATTTGAGTATATACGTTATAAAATATGTCGTTGTGAAGTGCACAGATGCTTTTTCGTAATTAAGAAGAAAAAACATTTATTTCATGTTCCGTCTGATGGTAATTCAACCCGGTCCCTCTTGGCCGCAACCAATTGTATCAAACGTCTTTGCACACTCAGCTACAGCCATACATGTAAAGGTGTTTTCAAATGCTGAGTTTGAATCAACATCACAGCGCGCGATTATTTATTTATTATTAACTGCTCCACAAGATAGAGACGGGTCAAAAGTTGGAATATTGTTTAGCTCCACTAAGGTTCTAATCAAGGAGCATACATTGCATAGTTCGTTTTAGAAAATACGATGTAGAAAGAAGAAACACTGCGTAAATTACGTGTAGGAACATTGAAGGTTATTCTTTCCAAGAGGTTAGGGCAATCAACCGATCCATTCAAGAGGTTGGCAACAAATGAGCATGCAAGATAAGCAGATCTACTACGTAGAGTTTGTAAATTTAGAAGTGCACAACGTGATTCATATGAGGGAATGAGAAGTGCACAACGTGATTCATATGAGGGAATGGGTTCACTAAAATTCAGTGAGCGTAAAGCAAATTTTATAACTTTTTTCTGTATCCGTTCTAATCGCGTGATATGAGAATTGTGGTATGGTCTCCAAATGAATGACGCATACTCCAACCTGGATCTTACTAGAGTAATATAAAGCATCTTCAAAGTGTATGGATCGTAAAAAGGTGAACTATTACTCCGGACGAAAGCCAGCATCGTGTATGATTTGCCAACTATATATTCGATATGCGTGGAAAAATTTAGTTTCGTGTCGAAATAGACACCGAGATCCTTGCCTTCATTAACATGATTAAGAGGGGATCCAGAAATATGATAGCGCGTGTGGAGCGGAATTAGCTTTCTGGTATAAGTACAATGTGAGCACTTATTTATATTTAGATGAAGACGGTTTCGTATGCACCAATCGTGTAGTTTAACAAGTTCTCCTTGAAAGGCAATGGAATCGAGTATGCTTTTAATGACAGGATAAATTTTGAGATCGTCCGCATATAATAGATATTTAGATGACGAGAAGCAGGACCCTATGTCATTAATAAATAAAATAAACAACAGTGGTCCAAGTATACTACCTTGAGGAACACCCGACGTCGCAATAAAAGGCTGTGAGTAGACATCCTCGAACACAACCATGCAATTTCTGTCAGACAAATATGATTTAATCCACTCCAAAAAATTAGAGTGGAAACCTATAGAGAATAATTTAGACACTAAGACCTTGTGAGAAACCCTGTCAAATGCCTTTGAAAAATCTATATATATTGTGTCGACTTGCTGGCCAGCTTGAATAGCAGACGGACAATCTTCCGTAAAAATTGCAAGATTGGAGACTGTGGACCTTCCTTCAATAAAACCATGTTGGTTTGGACTAATTAAGCTGCTAACTGAGAATGACAATAACTTTGAAATTGGTCTATAATTAGATACATCATTTTTGTTGCCACTTTTAAAAATCTGCATTATGTCATACCATGTATGTGTGTATGTGTTGTCCCCGCTGTGTATGCTTTGTATACATATACTTTCTTAATTACATATGAAAAAGCATCCGAGACGTGCAAAACGCCACCCGTGTAGAGAAAAATGTTTCATTTTAATACGGGCGTATTTGAATTGAATATTTCCATTATATGTACGTAGTGCATGTATAATAGAAAAATCCATTTTGTTAAGACTTTTCACTTGATTTAAATACGAACATTTTTAAACGGTAATCAAATAAAAAATGTTTATTCTTACAACGCGTTTTTTTTCTCAGTGAAGGATAATGGTATTAACAGCTCACGCTAATATTACCGGGGAGAGTTTTTCTACGCACGCACGAAAGTTTTTCTCATTTGATAAGCCCAAATCAATTTGCGTGCGTGATTTCTCAGAGTTGCATTTCCGTCAAATTTACAGAAGTTTGCCGAGAAAAATTTGAATTCATAGCCGCGCCAAAATGCCAATTGAGCATAAACGTCAAATCGAGATGACACGCAAGATAAATCTTGGAATTTGAGTTAGCTTTTTACGCACGCATATAAGGTTGGCCTGTAACAATTCTTCCCGATATAAATTGGGCTTTAAAGTGCAGAAATTTGTACTATGGATAGGATTGCATTGGTGGGATTTGAAACCGCGGCTTTGGTGTTAAAGTAAACACCTCAATCTCTACGTGTTGTAATAATAATAAAGTCCGGCGCTTAAACAATGGCCCGTAGTCATAGTCAAAATAAAGTCGACTTTAAAGTTAGTTGCAGCTTTTTGACATAATTTTCAATGGGATATCTGTCAAAAAAGCTGCAACTAACTTTAAAGTCGACTTTATTTTGACTACGACTACGGGCCAATATGTTAGTGTTTGGCCGAACTTCTCCTCCGATTTATCGCGAGAACCTTAATGTTGTGGCACAAACGGGGTGCCTACAGTTTTATGCCGACTCTGAACGGCGATTGTATTTTATGGGAAGCTGTTTTTTATTTTCAAGATTTGCGCACTTCTAACCGCTACACCCCAGCGGCCTATATGCGAGACCTATATTCAGATAAACTTTTTGGTTTTTGGTATCGATATTTGAAATATCGAGTCTTTTTATTCCGATATTAATGGGTACCCGATATTTTTAAAGCGATACTTTAAATGAGTACCATATCGATACTTTCGGTTCGATATCGTGTCCCTACGCACGCCACGTATTTACTGTCAAAAATTTCTCATGCACATACAACTTGTAAGGGACCAACCGAAATTGAAAGGCGTGCATATGAAGCTAACTCAATTTCCAATTTTTGTTCTGCGTGACATTTTGATTTGACGTTTCGCTCAATGAAATCAAATGCAAACGCATGCAAGCCAACTTCGGGTGACGCAAAAAAAAACAAATTCGACTACGTGCGTACTAAAACGCAAGCCGCGAATATTTGGTTAGCCTGTAAAGTCAGACTAAAAAAGTTGGATTAATTTGATAAATTGTACTGTGTTTGTGTGTAGCGGTGACAACCAGGGATGGAAAATCGAAATTTGAAATTATACCTAATTTGACAATAGAAATGTACCTTTTTGCTTTCAAATGCACTTAAAAAGTAGCTCAAAATTTTGGTAACTTTTTTATTATTTTTAGACAATTGCTACCAATTTAATAAATTTAAACATTATTTGCAATAACAAGAAATTGATTAATATATCGAAACAGTTGAATTAATACTGGTAAAAATGCAATAAAGATATATCTATGTATGTACATTGGGGTAGTCAAAATAAAAGTAAAATCGGAATTTTAATGCTCTCACCCTCTAGGATTGTACTTTACCGAAAAAATTATTTTTATATGGAAATCAAAAATATATTTAGGGGTCGCTCAAAGCACTCAAAGTGTTTCATGTATTTTATATGGGGAAAAGCATGTTTTCGTAGAAATGGTAAGCAATCTTTGAAAATCAAATATTTTTCGATCGGAAAACTTGGTTTCTCTTTTGGATATTTTCAATAATATTACGCAATGGTTTATTCATCCACTTTGTATTATTAACTATTTCTTATAGGGCCCCTAAAACCCTCAAAAAAATCGCTATTATTAGAAATCGTAAAATAAACAATTGGGTATTATTATTGGCAGTATCTTAAAGAGAAGCAACGCTTTTCTATCAACAAATATTGATTTAAGAATTCTATACCATTTTTACGGAAACTTGTTTTCACCCCATATGAAAAACATAGAAAACTTTTAGCGCTTTGAGCGACCTCTAAATATTTAAAAAAAAAATTGTATAATGTTTTTCGGTATCATTCATTCATTCATTTTATTTAACCCTGCTTATAAAATGTATATTTTTAGCAGGCTTTCTAATAGTTACATTTGAGTTTACATGTTTGAGAATTACATAATTATTAAAAAAATATACTAAAAGTGAAAGTACTTAAAAAAGTATTTCAGAAAATTACATTAATTTACACAATTTATTCATTTAATATCGCAAACAGTTAACAACATAGAGGTACACCATGTAGACTGTAATTTGATCGGTCAATTGGAATATATGCATTGGATTGCTTTCAAACTCTTTTTGAAGTGGTCCTAGGTAGTAGTCCCTAACGGAATAATAAATTGAGCAGATGCTCGAGGCTTTCTATTTCGCCTAGATTGCACTACGTACATAAAGCATTTGGGTCTATTTTGTAAACCAGGCCTTTGATACAAAACCTTATGTAGTACCTCGTAGGCAGCCGAGCTTGAGCTAAAATTTTACTCAAAATATGACTTACTTATCCACCGTTGCAAGAACAAATTCCCGCCGGAGTAGATTACAGATATTTCCGCCTTTCCCAATCGAAATGGACATACATGCAATGTAGCCACTTTGCTACAAATCCCTCAAAAGGTGAGGAGTTTTTCACTGTTCGCAAAGAATTTAATAAAGAAACAACACTGCAAATATTTCTTGTTGCCGCAATGACATGTTCACAATGATATATGAGCTGCCATATCTCCTTGTTTACAAAAATTTTCTTAAATTTTTTCGCGAGCAACTTAGTCCTAGTTAGTACCTAAATTCCGCTTGGTGTACCGAACGTAACTTTTGGTTCGGAAAAGTAGGAAAAAGTAGTACTTTTCCATTCCTGGTGACAGAACTACTAGAAACAATTGCATTGATCAAAAGGTGTTCGCACGAGCGATTTTGCGTTCAACTTTTCCTTTCAACTCACGCAGGGTTGCACGAAAAAAAAGTTGAATGGCTAAATGTTGGCTGGCGACCAACTTTGTTGAAAGGCCGTTCAACCAAAAGCAGAATGCAAAGTTGAACAATGCAAACGCCTTTTCATGGCGAATATTTTCATATTTTCTTGTATTGTGATATTTTTAGCCATTCATTTTTTTTCGTGCAACCCTGCGTGAGTTGAACGCAAAAGTTGCCTGAAAAATCGCCGCGTGCGAAAGCCCTATCAGACAGCACAGCGCTCAGCAAAAATAACTAACCACATATCGAAGAAAATTATCGGTGGTCAGTCTACTCGTTAATTTATCACAGTGTGGGGCGCCTGTCACACGTCCAATATTTATTGTGATATTTGCATCGTGACCCATATTGATGGATTTCAAAATAGTGATGGATCGCGCGGGAATGCTACATGTTTGAAGCAGATGCTAAAGATAATAAAATTTATTTGGTAAATTTTAAGTTTTCTCTTTTTTAAGTTTAAAGATTGAAAGTTTGAATAATAATGAAAATTTTCTTTTTGATTGACGAACCACAAAAATCACTTAAATCTAAAATTTCCAAAATTACAAAGTTGAAATGAACACAGTACAATAAAAGGTAATAACGCAAATACAAACCCTACAATACTCCTCTTCTAGAGAATTAATGTTATATAAATTAAAAATAACTCGTTTCTTATTTGATGTTGTGTTATTCATTATATTAGTGTTTGTTTCTGGTATTAGTTCTGTTTCAATGATTGCTGGTTTTAGTATGTCTAACGGAATTGTTTTAACCTCATTATCTACTTCAAGTTTGAAATATTTTTAGCTTTTTCAACAACCTTATAAGGTCCTTCGTATGGTGGTTGCAATGGTTTTTTATTAATAACACGCATAAAAACCAATTTACAAGTCTCCAAATTCTTTGGTATATATCCACCAGTATCAGAATTTTGATTATACCTTCAATTTGATTTAACATTTTTAAATGTTCCCGTAAATTACCTAAAACTCCAGTTGGGGAAAAATTTTCTTCAGATGGAACCACAAGTTCACCGGGTAGGCGTAAATTTTGCCCAAAACCATCTCAGATGGTGTGGCTGAAATACTTTCTTTATACATCGATCGTAAACCCAGAAGTATCATCGACAGCTCATCATACCAATTGTTGGTTCCATTTCTAGCCATTATCGTAGCTTTTAACTGCCTGTGAAACCGTTCTACCATACCATTCCCTTGAGGATGATATGCAGAAGTTGTAACGTGATGACTACCAAGCAATTTTGTTAGTTCCGAAAACAATTTTGACATAAACTGAGTACCCTGATCTGTAGTGATTTTTAACGGTACCCCAAAACGTGAAACATATTCTCTAAAAAATTTATTTGCAACCACTGCCGCTGAAAAGTCCTTTAATGCGTATGCCTCGGGCCAACGCGTGAACCTGTCAACTATTGTAAAAATGTAACGATGTTCTTTCGATACAGGAAGAGGTCCAACAATATCTTAATGAATATGCTCAAATCTACTTTTGGGAATCGGAATTTTAATTACTGGAGATTTGGTGTGACGATTAACCTTCGATTTTTGTCAATTTATACATTCTTTTGACCAAATATTAATTTCTTTGTGCATTTTTGGCCAATAGTCCTTTTTAGACGACGTGTAGCTTTTGTACCAGGATGTGTAATGTCATGTAACATATTAAACACTGTCTTGCGTAAACAATTTCGAACAAATGGCCTAGGATTCTCACCTGTTATTTCACACCAAATATTAAAATTTAAAAGTGGAATTTGAATTAATTTAAGGTTATGTGATGTGTCTCCAGATTTTAATGTGTTTAGTTCCTCGTCCTGTTCTTGTTCATTTTGTAAAACTTTGAAATTCAGTTCTGTACCCTTAATTGCATCAACTTCGAAAGCTCTAGATAATGTGTCAGCTACAATGTTTGCCTCTCCTTTAATATATCGTATGTCATTAGTAAATTGTGCAATTAATTCCATATGTCTAGTTTGTCTCGGACTACGTTCGGTTTTTGAACTCAAAGCAAATATCAAAAGCTTGCGATCTGTAAAAACGGTAAATTGTCGTCATTCTAAGAGATAGCGAAAATGTGTAATGTTCAAATAAGTAGCTAGCAACTCCCTGTCAAATGCACTGTACTTAACTTCGAATGGAGAAAGATTCTTAGAAAAGAAAGCTAGTGGCTCTGATTTGTTATCAAACGTTTGATGTATGACACCACCAATTGCCGTATTAGATGCATACAATAGCATTTTCTGACTCCTTGTCAGTTGCCTCACCTGCTAGTTCAAGTAGAACTTATGCAAGGCTCACTGTGTGTTATACCGCATTTCCTGCTATTGGTCCATATGCCAACGATGCCGGTGTATTTCATTCAGACACACATACTAGCAAGGTTCTTGGTTCCCATGCCAGCACACTTGCGGGACCATATGCGCACACAGCCGCTGCGCCATATCCACCAAATCCTATTACGCCTGCCGTCATCAGTGATAGTGGAACCAACACGACTTCTTTTTTGTACGCGACCGCCCAGCCTATGGCCAGCACAATGTGTGGACCGTCTTATGGTCCCACCACCGCTGGAACTTATTCCAGTGTTGCCACCGCCTCAAGTACGCCTTCATATAATCTTACCGCTGTCGGACACCATGAAAGCAAAGCCTCTGCTACGTGCGCAGGTGCCACCTCTGCTGCGCATAACGTCGGCGCTAACAATATTACTGCTGTGCCTATGGCTGTCCCTGTCACACATTCGCAGTAGTATTTTGCCAATGGTGCGACTTGTCAAGCCGCGAACGTCCCTCAGCAATCAATGAGAATTCCAGAAGTACTATCAACGTCTTTTGCAACGATTCCGTCTACATTTTCAACGGGGTATAACCCGTTAGGTGCATACTCGCCTGGTTTAACGCGTGCAAGTATTGGTAGCCTACGATCAAATGGAGTAATGGTTCTCCGTAAATTACAAGATTTGCCTGAATTTAGTGGCCACGCAGAAGACTGGCCAATATTTTTCACGGCATTTCAGCAGTCCACAAACGCGTACGGGTACAGCAGCCTTGAAAGCAACCAACGGTTGCAAAAAAGCTTGAAAGGAGAGGCACGAGACACTGTCAAATCGTTGCTAATACATCCAGAGAATGTAGGTAACATTATAGAACAACTGCGTTTTCGCTTCGGACGACCAGAGCAGCTAATTCGAAGTCAGCTGTCGCAACTGAGGGAAATATCACCTATTTCTGAAAGTGGTATAGTAAATTTAGTACCATTCGCTACCGAGGTCAAAAATCTCGTAGCGTTCCTGCAGGCAGCAAATGGATACCTGCATCTTACTAACCCGACACTGATAGAAGAGCTTGTCAGCAAGTTACCATTGAGCAAGAAGCTTGAATGGGCCAGATACTTGTCAACAGTACAATCGCATGCAACCGTGGTCCACTTCAGCGATTGGTTAACACATATTGCGAATTTGATTTGCTGTGTGCAGGATTATGAAAGTCGCGAGCCATTAAAACGTCGGACCGTGTCGCATGCAGTAGAAACGCAGAGTGAATGTTTTGATGAGAAACAGCAAAATCGTGTGGTAGAAAGGCCACACACCCCGTCGTTGAAATGTGCTGTTTGCCAAAATTCACACAAGCCAGTAGAATGGCAACGTCTCATTGAAGCAACATCAGCTGATAGATGGAATGAAGTTAAACGCAGCCGCCTGTGCTTTTCATGCCTCAGCCCAGGGCACTCAACTCGAGAATGCCGCCGCCGTAAACCGTGCCACATCGATGGGTGCCAAAGGATGCACCATAAAATGCTTCATGATGACGAACAAAAACAAATGCAGCCCGCAAAATCCGTATGCGCGTCTCCGGCACAGCCACTTGATGTTGACAAGAAGCCGGTTTTGAGCTGCTCCACCAGCGCAAATGAGCGTATGCTATTGTTTCGCATACTGCCGGTAACTCTACATGGTGGAGGAAAAAGCGTTGAAACGTACGCGTTATTCGACGAAGGATCGTCTGTCACATTGGTTGACAGCACGCTCTCCCAGGAATTGGGTCTACATGGCCAGAAGCGAAGCCTCAACCTACAGTGGTATGGAGGAAGAGCAACTCAGGAGCCAACCTTAATGGTGGACTTGTTCGTCAGTGGAACTGGCATGAAGAAGAAACATAAGCTTCGAAACGTTTACAGCGTGTCAAATTTCAACTTGCCTGCGCAGAGCCTGAGCGAAGCAGACCTACGAAGTTCTTCACGCCATTTGCAGAATTTACAACTGGAGCCATACAGTGGAGCAGTGCCAAAGCTTTTGATAGGACTTAACCATTGCCATCTGGGCATACCTGCCGAGATCATGCAAATTAATTGTATCGGGCCGTACGCTGCCAATACTGAGCTTGGTTGGACCGTGTTTAGGCCAAATGTGGAAACCTCATCTAGCACGCAAGTATGTTTGTTTACGACGCCAGCTTCAGATCAAGCGATGCATGATCTGATTGCAGAATACTTTGAAACTGAGAGCTTCAGCGTAAAGACATTTCCGCCAGTTGAAAGCGCGGCTGACCTGCGCGCGAAGGCAATTTTGCATTCAACAACACGCCGAACAAACGGTCGATATAGCCGGCCTATTGTGGAAGTATGACGATATTGAGATGCCCGACAGCTACGAAATGGCGCGAAAGCGATTGATAAGCATAGAAAAGAAAATGCAGCGTGATGACAGCTTTGCAAAAGTCTACAAGCAAATCATCAACTCATATGTTGCCAAAGAGTACGCAAGAAAATTGCGACCCGAAGAAGCCGCTTCATTCAATAAGAAGACGTGGTATTTGCCACACTTTGGCGTGGTTAATCCAAATAAGCCAGCCAAATTACGCCTCGTTTTCGACGCCGCCGCAGAGACACATGGAGTGTCACTCAGTTCGCTACTCCCGAAAGGACCACAGGATTATAGAGCACTACCAACCATCCTATTTCATTTCCGCCAAGGAGCAGTAGCCGTTTGTGGCGACATCAAGGAGATGTTCCACCAGATTGTGATTCGGCCAGATGACAGATGCGCTCAAAGGTTCCTTTGGCGCAATGGTGATACTACAAGAGAGCCATATGTCTATGAGATGATAGCGATGACATTCGGTGCAGCATTCTCGCCATGCGCTGCGCAATACATCAAAACTCTGAACGCAATGGAACACTCTGATAACGCCGATCGAGCTGTCAAGGCAATCCTAGACTACCACTACGCCGACGACTTCGTTGATAGCTTCAGGAACGTAGAGGAAGTAATCACTGTATCTCAACAAGTACGAGCCATTCACCGAGGAGCTGGGTTTGAACTCCGCAACTTTACTTCGAATTCG